TTAATAAGGTAAATTGTTTATTTTTCATTTATAACTGTTACATGTAACTAAAAACTTAACTGCAGACAACTGAATTAGTCTTATGGTGGTTTGTGCGATAAGTTGGTCGTAATGAAGACAACAACAATTTAACATAATGAAATTCATGAAATCAAAACTAATTACTTTTAGATGCAAAATGGCCACCAAGACTTTTTTTTTTTCTCAAATAGTTTCATCTCTCTTCATCGTGTCCACTGTTTTCCTGACTTATGTAACTATGGTATTTGGAACAGTCTACATGACGACGGGAAAGAATGGAACTCTATTTGGCGGAAGGAGGCAAAAACAATCATCCATCAAAGTTTCACTGCTCCTTTACATATCACTTTTCAAAAGTATATGTACAATTAATTTGAATGGCCTGCAATCTCCCATTAAGGGATGAGGACATTTAAACAAATTTGCATGTTTGTATTTTATGACAAATCACATACTGTAATTTAGTTACAGTTACTTTTGGAATTACCAGGTCCTGTATATATACAAGAAGACTGTAATTTTTAATACTTTGCCTAAGCATATCATAATCAGTCAGTATATGATGTCATAATCAATAAGCATGATGTCATAATCAGCAACTATGATGTCATAATCTAAGCATGATGTCATAATTAGCACCTTTGTCATAATCAATAAGCATGACACCATAATCAGCAACTGTGATGTCGTAATCAATAAGCATGATGTTATAATTAGCAACTATGTCATAATCAATAAGCATGACATCATAATCAGCAACTCTGATGTCATAATCTAAGCATGATGTCACAATCAGCAATTATGATGTCATAATCTAAGCATGATGGGTTTATATATTAGATGCAAGTTCCTACCTGGAATGCTTTGTTGTTGTAATATCTGTCTTGAAGTTTGGCACCAAACTCAGCAGGATCAATACCTTCCTCTGTGTATCAGAAGAAAGAAAAAAGCTATTAAATGATTGATAAATGAGATGAATGAGTTTTGCTGAAGTTGACCATCCAACATTACAAGGGGATGCAGCAATGGCACAGTGGGAGTATGAACTTGTGTGAAAATTGCAGATGTTGTAAAGTGTGAACAAGCAGCTTTTTCAGCTCCACTGTTGACATGGTCAATGAAGCGAATCTATGTTATTGCAGCCATCATTCACTCAGTCTATCAACTCTTCTTATTTTATGTTTAGAATAATAATTATGCAAATTCAATGTAGTATGCATATAATATGTAAATAGGTATGTACATTTTTACAAGCATGGTATTAAATAAGAAGAAATATCTTTTAACCAATGACTGCAGGGATTGCGTTAACCCCATATTTTGCTTCCCGGACTGCAATTATTGAAGAGGGACCCGGTTTTTCAGGCAAGCCGGGGTCCAATCTCTAATAAAGTTATTCAGGGTCAAATTTCAATTTCTTAAAATTTTGTAAGTGGGACTCGTCTTGGCGAGACACTAACGCAAACCCAGAGAATGTTACACAAATATAATTGACAGTATGAGAACCACCAAGCACATGAAATATCAAAAAAATCAGATCAACCATATCCCAGTTTGGTACTACCTGACCTGACCTTTCTATCATAAGGTATTATGGCAATTCAATGCACTTTCCTGGCGATGACCAGGCCCGGCAGAACACAAGCACGTCTTACGGACCTACATGTAGACCAAGGTTCCCTCAAATTCACATCCATTAGTGAATAAACCCCAGCTATATTGATATATCCTTCCCGTTGAGTCTGTAGCAGACCCATCCAGAATAGGAATCAATGCTTTTCAGTGTTAAACCCCAAGTAGAATTTGAACACAAGTCTACATTTACAAACCACAAATCTGATACATGTACTTCTTAATGTTATTCTATGATGTCTATATATCATTGAACCATTTCAATGCAATGAAATGAGACAACAATGCCTCCTGAATAATTAAATATTCATTCTTTTTTCTCATTGACAACTGTACAATGCGCTCATTTCTATTATATGTATTTATTTGAGATTTAATTATTACCATTAGTTTTTCTTTCTACCTATACTGTTGTGTATTTGCCTTTAATATTTGTAGTTTGTTTATTTATTTTTATCATTAATTTTAATAAATGTATTATATATTTTTTCTTTAGAGTTGTAGTTTTATCACTGTAGTTTTTTAGTGACCTTACTGCTGTACTTTCTGAAGTCAGTGTTGTATCAATAAACGTATTCACTAAAAGGTGTGCTTATCTCCCTAAAGACTTTTATAAAAACTAGAGTTACAAAAGCCACAGTTTAATACAAATAATGCAATTATACATGTAGTTGCAAAACTAGAAGTGATAGCACAGTGCAATAAGCTGGTACGTATAAAAGTTTACTGACCGGATATAACAACGTCTATAAAATATACATGTTTAATGCTGGTATTGCTGGTAGCAGATCTTGAACTTCAATATTTATGAGGTCAAATATATTCACTTTTTTCAAGGGCATTCAGGTTAAACATTATAACACATGTGTGGTACTACTACATTGTACATGTATGGTATACATAACACAAAATCAAAAAAATAATCGAAAAGTTTCTGATTATTTTATTTTCAAAAATTTGAATTTGCAATTTAGTGAATATGAAATTCTCGTTTTATGAACAAGATACTGTAAAATAATTTATTTTAACTGGAATTAATTTTCGCTGAAAAGACATGTTGGCTACTTTGTATGTTAAGTTTATTTTTACTTATTTTTTAATACTAAATGTAGAAAAAAATATATTTTCACTAGATTTTATTGATCCGAGCAAAAATAAATTGTGAAATGTGAAAATAAATTAGTTTACAGTAAATAAAAACAAAATTGTGTTCTAACAGTTTAGCATGTGCCTTTACAAGCTCTTCTCAGCTACTTTTTTTTTTCCTTGAATACCTCTCCACACAGCCGTCACCAAGGTGACCCAACGTGATTTGGTGATTTCATTTTGACTCAAAATCAGTTGTGATAAGGACACGCAGATGGAAAAGATGAATCATGCAAACTAGGCAATATGAGTTTCATTGTTATATAACAATAATTCAAAACTTGCACTAAAATGTAACTAGGTACCATAAGCAAGGAGGAATTATGCAAATTAGGCAATTAATATTCATAAACTAATAGAAAAGATAGAAGACACAGGTGTTTCATCGTATTCATCATGATTACACACTGCAAAGTATCAATTTAAAACTTGCACCAAAATGTGACTAGGTACTATTAAGCAAAATTTAATTATGCAAATTAGGCAATTAGTATGCATAAACTAATAGAAAAGATTGAAGACACAGGTGTTTCATCGTATTCATCATGATTACACACTGCAAAGTATCAATTTAAAACTTGCACCAAAATGTGACTAGGTACTATTAAGCAAAAGTTGAATTATGCAAGTTAGGCAATTAGTATGCATAAACTAATAGAAAAGATTGAAGACACAGGTGTTTCATCAGGCAATTAGTATGCATAAACTAATAGAAAAGATTGAAGACACAGGTGTTTCATCGTATTCATCATGATTACACACTGCAAAGTATCAATTTAAAACTTGCACCAAAATGTGACTAGGTACTATTAAGCAAAAGTTGAATTATGCAAATTAGGCAATTAGTATGCATAAACTAATAGAAAAGATTGAAGACACAGGTGTTTCATCGTATTCATCATGATTACACACTGCAAAGTATTAATAATTCATTAACTGTCTATACTCATCAATGCATGACTAAACTTAGTAATTCAATTGCATTGTAAAGATTACAGTTCATTTAAACATTCCCAGGACATGGGTACATGAGAAACGATATGAATAAGTATTGCCTCATTTATGATGCAATATACAAAAGCTGCTACAGACGGAACCGCTGTAAATTCATGTTCTGTATTTGTTTTATCAATAGCTTTTTTTTACGTAAATGACAGAAGCGTGTCTATATGGTCGAAAAAGTCACATTTGAAAGATAAAGCAATTATAATAAAAACATGTTTTGGGGTTTTATTTTATTTGATAGATAAATATATACATGTAGATAGAGTAAATATATTATGAATGACTTAATGTCTTACATCCTGGTATTTATCAAGTAGTTTGTCAGGAAGTACCAGGATGTGTGACCTTAGGGGGGGGGGGGGGTCATCCAAAAAACTAAAAGTGAATCTTATTGAGGTAAAGCAGAAAGAAACAAATTCTAAATTTGTAAATTTTTCAGGTTAATTGCAGTAAAACGCACAAATTAAATTCATTGCAACGTTGACCTCATCTGAAGGCAGTTCCAGCTTAACTCAAATTTTGCACTACTGAGCTTGTTCCTCCACATACATGCAATGCATCATGGGAGAGAAATTCAATTTTTATACTACGGAGAGTGTTACTGCACATATGTGCAATGTATCATGGGGAAATATCTTACTTGTATGGAAAATTACTATTAATTTAAAGTCGCACAGTGTCATATTTGATATGTGGAATCCTTAGTGATGTATATAACACATCTAATATACATGGTATGTTTACAAAAAAATTGAAATGCACTGCATGGCAAGTGTTGCATTTAAAATGTCAATTTTTTGAATGTTTTAACCCTATTAAGTTTTACATGTATACCAAACATAATACCATGCACTTATGTAAATTATGATATTTTCATAGTGAAAAAACATATTTCAATGATTCAGTAAATGAAAAATGCATTTATGTTTTATATACACTACAATTGGAGATGTAGTTCTGACAAAACATATGAAATATAAAATTTTTGCAAAATTTTTGAAATTATGCCGAAATAATTTTATCACTAAACCACTGCAATAATGCAAATTTTTTTTTTTTTTTTTTTTTTTATTTTTCGATATTTCAATAAAATGAATAGATACAAATGTATAAACATACATGTATAATTTTCATTTCAGCTTGAATATTTTTAAACATTGTTTATATGCTGTGAACCATTTCAGTTTTAGGAGAGACCAATTTTCAAAAATTTCATGAATACAGAATTTGTTATCACTTAAAATTTCTCTGGATCCCTACAACACAATTTCTAACTTTACAAACGCCATAAAATTTTCAAATCGTAAAAACTCCACGCAGCAAAAATTACGGCTACATGTACCAGTATCTTTTCGTTTAATTGTTGAATCAACACAGAGAGATCTGACGGCTGATATTTATGAATTACGAGTTTGTTTTGTTAAAACAATATGGATATGAAATGTTCCCGATAAGTACAGAATCATGTACGGCTACAGTCTAGAATAAACCATGATACGAATCAATGAAAACACTGCAGCGTTAGAAATATGATTGATTCAATTATTCATATCATTTGTAATAAATGTTATTACCGGTATCAATGTGCACATAGTTTCGTTATCTGCCTTAAAACGCTATCAGGCAGCAGAGTGTTCTCACCAGGAAATAAATACACGGGTACAATTGTGTCATCAATGTGAGACGATTACACACCCGTGTTAGATATGAAGTATTTTGTTCCTCTTATACTTATAGACGAAAGTATACTCAAATGTTTATTATGAAAAATATGTATGAATTTTATTTTACGCTTGTCATTTGTATTTTTTTGCATTTTTTTGAAACAATTTGTCTCATAAGAGCCAAACATGAGACAAAAAATTTAAACATGAGTCAAATGTTTTATATCATATCTGGTGAGACAATGAGACAATGGTTAAAGGTAGTACAAGTTACTCATGATTTTTAGATGTATTTTATTTAATGTCAAAATCTATATATCATAATTTAATTATTTTAGCATTACACTAGTAGCTTCAAGGTGAGTGGCTTTCTTAGTGAGTAGCTTTCGCAGTGAGTAGGGCTTTGTTGCAGTAACTGATCTTTTCATCAGAATTGAGAATTAATGTTTATTGCATCATTAACAACTAGTGTTAATCT